GTATGTATATTAATATTGAAAAAGAGTTTTTTGTTCAAATGTACAATATACTATAGTTATATACTATAACTTCCTGACACCATTTTACTAAGTATCGAGACATTTGGAGACATCTCTTGTCTCTTGTCCTAACATCATGAACTGACACATTTTAATATTGCAGAAGAGTTTCTTGTTCAAGTTCAGAAGAAGTTGGTTTTCAAAGTCTTTTGAGTCCAGTCTCTCTTTAGGGAGATAAAATCTTTCCTGCTGTAATAAATAATCTTTCAATAAGTCCATGGGTGGTACATATTTTCTGGCTGACTCTCTGCGGTGGAATCCATTATGGGTGTGTTAGCGTTGCTGTGGGTGCACCCAGCTCAATGACATATATACTAGAATATACATCACTGGTCCAGCTCTTCTTGAAGGCAGGTCCAACGTTACCTGCCTGCTTTGCAGTGATTCAATGGACCAACTCCCCTCTTGCCATTGGTTACTTTCAAACTAACGAACAAAAAAAAACTAACAAAAAAAAAACGCAACGTGGATGTAACGTGTAACAACGCATTATAGAAATGTGGTGTAGTAGAAAGTACAGACACTTAATGTAAAATGTAGTGGAGTAAAAGTTGAAAGTACACACATTTAACTCTACTTAAGAAAAGTACAGATACATGAACAATGTACTTAAATCCAGTAACAAAGTACTTGTACTTAGATACAGCCCACCACTGCATACTACATATTTAGCTTCATCAGGATATTAAACTACAGTGTAGCACATGCAAAGGCAGAGGTATTAAAGCACTCACTCACTCCAAGGATACTGACAAGTTTGATTAATGCCGTGGGAGCTGCACAAGGTGCAAAGAAAGGCTCCACAACGTAACGCCCAAAAGCCAAGGAAACATAAGAAGCAACAGCTGGTCTGAAATAAAGAGAACAGCCTGGTTAATGTTTGGAACTGGCTATACTTTTACATCTGTAATATCCCCTAAAAACATCTACCTCACGAATAAAAACTCCACCCAGAGCCTGAGGAAAGCAGGAAGGGGCCCCAGTGTCTCCAGGAGGTACGTATAGTGACCCCCGGATTTTGTAAAGCTGGTGCCCAGTTCAGCATAGCACAAGGCCCCTAGAAGAACAAAAATACAAAGCTGATTAATATGACTGAACGATTTTGCGTTAGATTTCATGCAGCATTGACTTTAGGTAAAGCGGGGAAAGACGACGTCGTCCTACCAAACAATGAGAGGACGCCACACAGCGCCCACACCAGCAGAGACAGCCCCACGCTGCCACTGTTCATCAGGACACCCTTCGGAGCGATGAAGATCCCACTGCCCACCACTGTTCCAATGATGAAGGACACAGCAGGCAGCAGCCCGATCTCCTTCCGAAGGTGCACCGCCTCGTCATCCTCCCTGTTATCTGGCTCCTTCTTGATCCGCACCCTCTCCATTTCTCGATGGCTTTAAGTCCAACAGAGCGTTGCTCAAACTGTGCTGCAGGAAACAAAACAAGTTACAGATTGTGCTCTCACTCCCCTCTTTCTCCCCTTTCACTTATTTATACTTCTCCCCTCATTGGCTCCTTCCCGTCCACCCAGTTTGCACATTCTTAAGCCAGCCCTCTTCCAAGTTTAAGCTGTGAAAAAGCAGTTTAAGGGCTAAAAACTTGCAGTCTTGTACTGGGACTTGTTTGTCCCAACATGTGTGAGAGGCTCAGTGGAGGGTAGACTCAGAGGAGTGTAGAAAAAGCAGCTGCACACAGCAGGAGGGCCACTTCTGACAACATTCACAGTCTGATTTTTTTTTTTTTATCTTTGTCTCTCCAAAGGGACTCTTCTACATTTTAGGCATTCTGAAGTTGAAATAACGCAACACTGACTTTTCTCTCTCTCTCAGGCCTCACATCAAGAGAAAGCAACTCTCAAAAATGAGCTATTTTGCCTCTTTACACTCGAGTGACTACTGTATGGATGTCAGATTCACTTCATCAGAATGACTGCTTGTTAACATTCCTGCTACAGCTACATACTGCTGTGCGGTTTTTATTTAGGACAAGTCGTTCATTGTGAAGACGCCACACAAAAGTTTTCTTTTGCAATACGAAGTTGTCCAAGATGTTTTTCTTGGATGTTCTATCAGTTTTATGTTGTACTGCTGTACAAAGAGCTGAGACCGTATGTAAAATGGAAATAATAATAGAATGCACTGATTTAGTAATCTCATAAAAAAAAAAAAAGTATTGTTCACAAATAAACACAGGAAAGATACCGAATAAATCTTTGACTGTTTTTGGAAGAAGAAAAAGTTTCAGGAGGATGTTCATCAATAGAAAATTGGGAACACTTTTCTCTACTGTATTTCATGTGTCCTTAATGTATATACATAATACCCATATGTATTTTATGGGTATCTCTATTATAATAATATAACATTGGAGCACCAATCAGAAACATTGCTGTCTTCTCTGGACCAAAAGTACCGTATTTTCCAGTGTATAAGTCGTACCTTTTTGCATAAATTTGCAAGTCCTGCGTCTTATACACCAAAGTGACCAATATACATTTTTTCCCCATATTCATAACCCAATTTTTGGCTGAGATCTGACGATTTCATTCATTCTGAAATGAAAAATATTAAACATTACCATTTGCAGCTGCTAGAGGCGCAAGAGAGCCCTCAAGCCTTATGGCAAGCCAAGTTTCTCATTAATAGGTAAACATGGCTATTAATGAGACACTTGGCTTGCCATACAAAGCCACCTTCGTCCCTGTTCCGGTACTCCTGGAGCAAACGCCAAATCGGCTGCATTTCACCGCGCTGCCCAGGCGAAATGCAACTGATTTGACAATTAAAATGCATTTATTAAGGAAAAGTTCAACTGAGAGACATCTTTGCTGGCAGGGCAGCTGACTCAGGACCCTAAGGTCCTGGGTTCGATCCACGGTCACTGCACACCTTGTGGTGTCTCTGAGCAGGACACCTTATCCCCAGTTGCTCCCTGGGTGCTTTCAACAGCCGCCCACTGCTCCACCTGGTGGTGGATGGGTTAAATGCAGAGAGCCAATTTCACCATTGTATGGGAACATACAGTGATGACAACACATGACACATTATTATTACAGTATTATTAAACAAATAATTGTTTTTAAGTGTTAATCTTGTTGAATTCTTGTTAAAGTCCTCCAGTGCGTGCTGGGACAACACTCTCCTCCAAAAACTCCAGCACCTGGACTGTTCACTTCCTAGACATTTACAAACAGTTGCTAAATGAAGAGGGGAATCTTTGCAGTAGTACATTTGAACTCTGTATCCACTTTTATGAGGTGTTGCTGCCATTAAATTCAAAATAACTTTATTGTTTCAAAAAAAGATGCGATTTCTAATTCTAAACATTTGATAGACTGTGTTCCATAAATTTTTTACACACAGATTTTACACACATTAACTCACCTTCTGTGGAAAAAAAAAAAAAGTTTTTTCATTGTTTCTCTGTTTGATCAGAAGATGGAGCTAAAGTCTTCTTTTCAACATCACCCTTTGTTCTAAATAGATGCAGTTTTCTTTCCTTCCATGATATGGTGATCTCAGACATGCTTTCTCTAAAACTACATTTTAAGGTGTTCTAATTTTATAGAGTAAAAAGCCTCCCCTTTATCTTTACAAGAACTGAATTATATCCTATTCCACCAATGGTAGCTCACTTTAAGCTAGGTTTTTCTGAAGTGTGAAGCCACAGTCAGTCACTTAAGGCTGTGATTCTGTCCCTGAAGAAGCTTTGAGACGTCTTGGGTAGCATGCAGCAAATGAGACAGGAGACTAGCTCCATTGCTGTTTTCCACCTGACCTCCCAGGATCCCAGCTCAGTCCCAAACAGTTTACCCACTGTTATCAAACTGAGTACTTTCCATAAGCCATCCACTTCGGCTCGAGGGTGTAACAGTTTAAGTAGAATGCATTTAATATGCCTTTTTTTTTTACATTGCACTTAATGTGAATTATTGATCAGAAACAGATGCCTCACAGTCCGAAAGCTGGAATAAAATGGAAGCTTTGGGGAATCTCTAATGATCTCTTCTTCTGGATTTCAAGGTAAACAGGGCGAAAAGAGTCAAACTTCACCTTGGTGTTGTGGAAACATCGTCCTTGGCAACCAGCTGAGGTCTCTGCATGCAATCTCCACGCTCTGGCACCTTGAATCCTCCAATTACAAACCCTGTTGTTATGAGGAAAAATTGTTTTGTGCGCCTCCATCCTGGGAATTAATTAACCTTCACACGCAGATGCTCATATATACCATAACACATAAGAATTCAAGCATTCATAAACACATACAGCACACTAAAACTAATACATAAGCAAGATATTACCTTCAGTTTTACCACACAATGAAAAAAACGTGCAGATTTGTCAACAAGGCATATTTTTAGAATATCGAGCAAGCTTCAACAAGGTGAAAGGTGATTTTTCATGTTTTATTTTTAATTTTTAGTTATTAAAGGCTAATGTTTTCTTTGTAGAGCAAAAATAAAGGCACTTATTCAACCAGTTTGATTAAAAGTTTGAGTGCCAGCCCCAACATCACCCCGGAGCACCAGGCTGATCTGATGCTGTGCATGGAGGAGCATTGTTCTCCTGAAATGAGAGGATCCGGCTCGAAGGACCAAACCAAACTTTACTCAAGCCACTCAGAGGACACGAGAAGATTTTTCAACCCAGTTTACTTGTAAGGATAGACGGTCATGAGGAAGTTTTCACAAATGTACAAAAGTTACATGCTTTTAGCCTCGTCAGGGAGAATCTGTGTCAGACAGAAAGGTAGGAAAAGCTTTAATACTGTACACGCTTATCAGACAGAGCTTGGCTTTCCAGATTATAAAGAAGAAAAGGCCTTGGAGTTTTATCAGGTGCCTCCGTGTGCCTGCAGGCTCCTCTCTGAGCAGTCAAAACAACTCTCTAACTCACATACATTAATTTAACATTAGTTAGTGATGAACATCCATAACCTTTACCTAAATTCCCCTGAGAAAAGGCTAATGTTGTCTTTGTAGAGCAAAAAAATAGACATTTATTCAACCAGTTTGATCAAAATAAAATTATATCAATTTAAAACTCTAAATTTAAAACAAGGTGCTCGTTGATAAATAAAACAATCATAGATGCACACAAATAAAATAATTTAGAGCAGAAAACGTGAAAAAGACATTTTCTTCTGAGAGATTGTGTCAGATTAGCATGCTACCATGTAGGCCCTCTTATTAGGATTTTTCATGTCTTGTTTCATCCCCACACCACAGATATAGGATTGTTTGTTTCCTCTTCAGATCCTGGGAGGACCTCAAAATGCCAAAGAATTATTTAAAATCTCCCATGGCAACATATTTACTACACACACTTAAAGCCTTTTTCCACATTCCTGTGGATGGATGTCTTCATCTGAGGGGCAGGAATGGTACGTGAGAGAGCAACACAGCGAGACACTTCATCAAACAGCACGCTTGGGCACTCGGCTGTAACCTGTTGATTGGTTTTATCCATGTAGCATCAACCAATCCCATCCATCACATGCAGCGCTCTGTATGCATCTGATGTAATGATCGTGTTCGACACACGCTGCTGGAATTGTATTTGAAACGCTCTGCAGGGTGTGCGTGTATTTAAGGTGTGTCAGCAGGAGGACATATATACTGTCAGTTGTGAGCTGAATGCTAAAAGGAACATCCATTACTGTTAATCCTATTGATGTTCTGCTACATTTTGCATAGTGTGAAATTGGTTCAAAATCATTGGAAGTACTAATCAATAAAATGCTTGTTTTACTTAAAACTTTAGCATTTTTTTAAACCAGGCTTTGATTACATCAGCGGTTTGACGTAAATCTTCCTTGTACCTCCCCATATTACTACATGCTCATGTTCAGGCTGCTGTTTAATATACCATTCAATATAGCATTATTTTTGGATGTCACTGGGACCTTGGGTACACAGTTTCATTCCACCTCATGTACCACATGTGATGTGAATGACAATAAAGAACCTTGAACCTTGATATGCCTTAGTTTTCTATTAAAGGTCTTGCATTCCTTTAAAGATGAAATATTGCAGCCAACTTTCATGCCTTTTGTTAAGAAATGTCGTAGCTGTTTTGGTTTAATTCTAGTTACGCACAATATCATGCAATACTGTGAAATGCCATAATCTGAGTACAGTATGTGTTGTGAAGGACTCACAAATATATTTGTACCAAATTTAAGCACAGTTTTAGTAAAATTGACTGAAACATAACCATGTTTTATTTAAGTGGCTGTGGCAACCGTCTTGAATTGATTTGACTCTAAAAGTTAATCAGTTGTACATGTACATCCAGTGATTAACTTTTAAACGTTTCATTTAAATCCATCCAGTAGATTTGTGATATATTTTGCTAACAGACATATACAGTTGACTGCAAAAGACCAACGCTAAAATTTTCAACAAAGACCTTGCGCAATCTGTTATTGCTATATGTTTTGGGGATTAGTCTCAGCTACCACTGAATCAGATTTCAGGTCAATATCTGTAAAGCTGACTGAGTGACAGCTACTTTTTTTAAAGGTCAGTTAGCTGTGGCAGCCATCTTGAATTGGTTGAACTCCGAAAGTAAATCAGTTGGAGAGGTACAGTACATCCAAGGATTCTATTCTGCAAGTTTAAGTAAAAATTGTCTCA